TACACAATTCTGAGTGAACGTTTTGTAGGCCTGACTGCTACACAGGACACAAGGAACCCTTTTCAACAGAGAACAAACTACAGCATATATCATCTGATCAAGGAGACAGAAAAGGAAGTTACAGTCCGCAGACCTGTCCTCTGGAGGAGAACCAGAACTCCAATGGAATAGCAGGGTGTTACCTTCTGGGCTCTTTGGTAGTGCCTCCAGACTTCTACATGGATTTCTATCTGGACTCCATTTGGAATTCGTCTGTGTCAACCTTGAGTTCTGGCTAGACTTCACGTCTCTTGGTGAGACGTGATCAGGAAGACATGATTCACAAGGTGAGGTGCAATCTTGGACAAAGCCAAGAGTAACAACTTGTGTTTTTTCCTTTGATGACTTACTGTGTTTGTTAAATTATTAAATATCTAGAAAAGTTCCCCCCAAAAAATTCTTTCCGACATGACATCACATTTTACTGCCACTGTCTACTGTAAAGTCCTTACAGAACACACTGCAAGTCTGTTAGCATTAATCACCACCAAAACCAACGGTTCTTGTCATAAGTTCACAACTAAAGAGGGATGACAAATTCAAGGAAAAACAGTGGGTCTGTTATGCTCTGACACTTTGTTGGTTTGGCTCCACTTTTCCCCTTAGAGTGAAGGATCGGTGCAGACTGATACAAATTTATCATGGTGGATCACCATCACCATCTATCCTGATGGGAGTCCTCTCTTCCAGGATGACAAGTTCCTTATCCACAGGGCCGACTGGATGGTTTGATGACTAGTAAATCATATGCTATGGTCTTCACAGTCACTAACGAGTAGTTTAGTAGTTTTGCTGCCTCACAGCACCAGGGTTCTGGTAGGTGGATTGGCTATGCTAAAATTGTCCTTAGACGTGAATCAGTGAATGAATATATGTACATAGTGCCCGGTGATCAACTGCTGTCTCGTCCATGGTGTATTCCTGCATCAATCCCAGTATTCCCAGGATCCACTTCCTCTCTGACCAGCATAAGTGGTTACTTAAAGATGGACGGGGTTTGCAGGTTTCAGTGGTCTTTCAAAGCCAATCATGAGACACTGAACATACTAGCAGTATTAGCAGGTCTATCTCTAAATCACTAAAGAATATTTGGAATCTTTTTCAGGAACCCAAAAACCTTAGGTGCTTTTCCACCAGAGGAACCATGGTCCATTTTAGATCCTGGGTCTGTGCTTTTCTGTAAAGCAGGAACTACGGGGTTGACGCTTTCCATACTGAATCTCAATGACTGGTGAAATGCAACCTTCACAGGATGACTACCCCTCTTACCTGCCATCTTACCAACCTGCATTTAGAACTAAAAATGACTTATATCAGAGATGGTGCGGCCAAACGTTTCTATGACATTTTCCGTACATATCCACACAAGTGGTGAGCCAGACACACTAGAGTGTATGTATATTAATGCTCATGCCACATGTAGCAAAGAGCAAAGCATTTGCTTCGAGTGTGAAACTCTGGTGGAACAATGCTATCACAAGATACTCACGAAAGAACATTTTGTGTGGATTAAACTCTTGGCTGTGAGTGCCAAGTAATACACATTCAAGGAGAATTCAGAGCTACGGTCCAGACAGCATACGAGCACACTGAGTAGGCTGCCTAAACAGAAATGCCATGAAAGCTGTATTGACATACTTATTACTATGGCTTGGGATCAAGTCCAAATATCCGTGACTATGAGGATATAAATGATCTGTTGCCAGATTACTGTCATGAAAACTTAAAAAAAAAAAAAAAAAAGCTTTACTGTGCAAATTGACATAACTGTCAAAACCTTTTACTTCCAACAAGATCTTGTCTATTAGTGTAGCACTCTTACTGTGCTTGATCTAGCAGCAGTGCCATTATATTAATGTCTCTTCATCTTCCACGATGTAAATGTGCTCATTCTGTGGTATCACAAACAGCACATACAGCAGATAAAAAAAGTCTACACACCCCTGTTAAAATTGTTAAAATTTAATGTAAAAATAAAATCAAGATCAGCGATTTAACGAGTTAAGGGGTGTGCACACTTATGCAGCTAGGTTATTGTTTTATAAAAGCCGAGTTTTATTCTCTTTCTTTATTTATTCCCCCTAAAACTATGTGCTTTTCACTTGAATAGTGTTGGTTGCTGTGTCACATTAAAGGTGGAAAAAGATCTGACATGATTTACAACAGTTTCATTTTCACGAAAACCTGCAATTTTAACAGGGGTTTGTAGACTTGTTTATATACACTGCATTATACAGAACATTGCAGCTGCCTGACCACAGTCAGGATAAATCAGATTACTAGCATTCACTAGCTTCACAGCAAAGTAGGGAATAAATAAACGTCTTATCTGTTCAGCAAGAAAGCAAGCTAAATCCCCATCATGCCTGAATCAGTTTTTCTCTTATTGATTATACTGTACTCTCCCGCTCTCTCACTTCCCTGACTGGACACCCGCCATTGTGTAGTCCTACTTTTTTCATGGTAGAAGCAGAGACAAAATAGCATTTAACATATCGGAGCTGGCGTATGATATAGGAGTACAAATTTCCAACCCAACACCCCTGACACTGCTCTGACTGTGAATTACTATCACAGGATTGTCAAGGCGACTCTCAGCAGCTCAGGAACATCATATTATAGGAGTTTTTATCCCCTGACCCAATAACTCAATAAATCACTAACCCTGGCACCAGGGACAAGCAGATTTCATGTCTGGTCAATCGGTTTCAGTCACCTTGATGCTATAACTACATATTTAACAAAAAAAAAAAAATCCTGTGCATTGTAACTATATTTGCACAAAAAAGAAAAAAAAAAAAAAAACAATATTGAATAGCGTCATTGATTAACGTTTAATTTCAGCTCCCTTGATGTTCACTATTTTTAATGTCATATCCATCACATAGCTTGTCAGAGGTTTATTGTTTCATATGAACCAGGTAATCATCCAGCAGAACAATTCCAGTAACTCGGTGAAAGCATGCCAAATATTACTCAATACTTTTTCTCCCCATCTTTCAGCTGCTCCCATACAGGGTTGCCGCAGTGGATCACTCATCTGCATATTTTGATTCTGGCACAAGTTTTACACCAGATGCCCTTCCTGACGCAACCCTCCCCATTTTCCGGGCTTGGGACCGGCACTGAGCGTGCACTGGCTCGTGCAGCCCTCCAGTGGCTGGGGGCGGGTTCCCTGACCGGGACTCGAACCCGGACTGCGGCAATGAAAGCGCTGCATGCTAGCCACTAGTCCAGCAGGGAACCTAATATTACTCAGAGGTAAGACATAGTATTCCGAGTACAGTATTAATAATGTATAGAATCACCTAATAGGATATGTTGAGGAGACAGAGAACAATGAATAAGCAGCAAAGGGTGCAGAGTTTCACTTTATGTTAAGTGGTATCAAAGATTTAGGTTGTGTTTCATCAAGGGATTCATTAACAAAGTTAAAAAGTAATCATGTCTTATAATCATAACGTACCTGTGATATGGGACATTGTATGAAACAGATTGGAATATTTATTCCATCTTATATGATCTATACTGCTGCATAAGAATTTCTCTTTATGTATATGATGTACAGGTTCACTCTAACGTCCTCAGTCACTTCAGGGACTTTTAGCCACTGAGCTGCCACATTCCCTTGGCTAGTCTTTTTCATCCATTTGAAAATCATTAGCGCTAGGGCGAGTGCAGTGTCACGGTGTCACGGTTAGTTGTAATGTATAATCAGACCGTTGCCTCACTGGTGATTTTCCTCACAGCCACACTCTCTTTCAGCTTATAAAGACGTAATGAAAAGTCATTCTCAAAAATATCTTTCTAAAATCCTATTCAGATTGGATTAGTTTTACATGGGGAGGTGGAAAATTACAATTATTACCGGAGTATCTCTGGGATTTTAGTCCTGCCTGAATCTGTCATTTCAGTAATTTCTTATGGACTGTGTGCATAATTACTCGGTATTACGCCATAAAATGACCAATACAAACACCAGGTAATATACTGTATATACCATCTGAACTGACATGTTGGTAAATTTCATTATATCTCATGGGAAAAGATGTGTTGTGCTTTTTCTTTAGTATAATGTGCTCTTTTCTATAGTTTCCCACCAAAACGTTTAAAAGGACTAGTCAGTGAAGCGATGCTTCTGGGGATATTAAGTAAGTAACTGAGTTCCTAGCACAGGTATAGCCCCTATGGCCATGTGCCCAATTAATAATCAGGCGTAACTTGCACAGTCACAAGCCCTAAAACAAGCACTTGCAGTGGATATAAAAAGTCTACACACCCCTGTTAAAACTGCAGGTTTTTGTGAAGTAAAAAATGAAACCAAGTGTGATAGAGCATCCAACAAAATTAAAAAGCTAGCATCTACAAGTGGAGAAAATGGGGGCACCAGAGTGACATTACTTAGAACCAGAACTGACAAAATGACGAGAAGAAAACATATCGGGAGGCTGTCAAGAGATCTACGGCAACATTAAGGGAGCGGCAGGAATATCTGGCAAATACTGCTCACTCCCTGCATGTGACAACAGTTTCTAGTATTCTTCACATGTGTGGACTATGGAGTAGACTGACTAGATGGAAGCCTTTTCTCATGAAATAAAAACATCCAGGCAGCATCCACCTAAATCAACCCAAACCATGTTGCAAAATGTGGTATGTGGTCTGAGGAGACCAAGGTAGAAATTTTTGGGCATAATTCTAAAAGATGGTTGGCACAAAAACAAGACAGCTCATCACCTAAAGAACACCATGCGGATGGTGAAGCATGGTGATGGCAGCATCGTGCTATGGGGCTGTTTCTCTTCTTCTGGGACTGGAGCTCTAAAGATAGAGGAGATCATGTATCTCACCAAATACCAATCTGTACTGGCACAAACTATAAGTCACAAAGCAATAAGTCACTACCGCTATCATCAAAACAAAACAAAAAAAACTGTCTGCAATATAGAGGTATGAGAATGAAGGATAAATATCCCCAGTCACTAGTGATATCCACCGTCTGACTCAGTACGACCACCATGTTCTGAGGCAGACATCACAGTCATGGTCCAGGAACAGCAACAGGCGTGACTGACAGGTGACTGGTGCTAAATAGCTGCACTGTGCATCATGTGACAATAATAATCTGAGAAAGCAATTCAACTTCTCTTCCCCCTGAGGAAACCTGAATCAAGCAGGGTTTGTGTTTCAGTCATTAGAGGCCTAAAATGTCCTTCACCTCAACGATATACAAGTGCTGCATTGTGTAACAGAGAAATTAAAGAACGTACATTTTCTTTGTTGAAACTAGGCACATTATACTCATACAAAGGCTAATGATATTGCAGAATCTCAAAGACGGTCGAAATAAAGTGGCATTATTGTAGACGGGGCACGACTGGACTTTCGGCTGCATCATTTAAACAGATATTCCTGCCCTTTCAGTCTCTGTCGAAAGAGAGCCAGAATGTCTTGCTTGAACTAAGCGATACACACTCTTGTGTACACAGACAAGGAGGATACATACATTCACACATAGATGCACTTGTACTTACGGCTGAGGAAAGAGCCTTGTGAAATATAGCGTTCTTATACCTGAAACCAGACACGTGCTAGACGGTATTCACACAACCAGCACCAAGGAACAGTTCAGCTTGTAAAACACGAAAACCTAGCACACATCAGCTCAGATAATAAAACAGATCCTATTCACTATACCCAAATTTCCACCCAAATATTAAAGTCCATTTCATAAACAAATTGGAAAGATTTAGAAATAAAGGCCACAAGTGAGCACACAATTTTGGGTGTTTATTTGTCATCAAATATCACTTTTTTTTTTTTTTTTTTTATACTTTTGCAATGACATGAGAACGTCATGGGGGTGAGCATCCATACTACTAATGATCTATCCTTCTGCAGTTTATAGTTCGGTCTTACCCTCCTAATCAAATGATGGACAATAAATCACGTAATTATTATAAGCAGCTGTATTAGATTATGGATTAAACTAAGCTCTCTTGGAGGACAGATCTCCAGGAGGGTCGGATGAGAGTCATCATCTTCTCCTTCTTCAGAGAAACTTTAGGAATGCTGGCGACAGCAAATGAGCTTCACTGGTCAACGATTTAACAAAATGGAAAGTCACACGTTTGGCACGGACAGTTCAGTGCTGTGAATTAGGAGCTTAGCTGCCTAATTTGCTTGGCATCTGCAGGACATGAAACTGTGCCTAGGATTCGAAGACTTATCATTCAGTTTAGCTTACACACCTTAGTATTAAGATCTGAACACTGACCCAAGTCTGATTTCACGCTGACTGAAAGGAGAAGCGTGGATAATGCGGACAGAGAGGCACATTTGCACCGTTTATGTAAAAAGATGCTGTGCTTGGATACAGTGCTCACGTTTGCAATGCAGGTCAGGTTGAAGGGTTTCTGCTTTCAACACACAGGAACTGGTCCAGGAGCTACAGTACAAACAATCAAAGCATCTAGCCGGAATCACTGAGCATCTGCCGGAGGATCTGACACCAATCTTATATCAGGACTCCTCATCGTCTTACACGTAGTAGAGTGCACAGGATCCCAGCCCTGGTCCTGGAGAACTTGCTGTCCTGCACATTGGAGTGTTTTCCCTGTGCTAACACACCCACCTCAGACCAGGAAGATGAGCTGAATCTGGTGTGTTAGAGCAGGAAACACACTCATATGTTAAGTTCAAAGAGACAGAACATTGGTATATTTTTTATTTCCAAAGCTATACGGAGAAAACTCCCTTCTTATTTGTGCAATCATGAGTTTCCTACCAGCAGCAGTTATGATTCTCGCTCTTCTAGACAGTTGCTCTATAGCACATATACCCAGGATGTGTTCAGAAATCAGAAATAGGCTTTTTCTTATTTTGCAGCCTGGTCATGGCATAATCTTCAGAACCCATTACAGCTTAATCACTTTGCTATAATGGGAGAGTTTAAAGCTCTGACAAAAAAATAAAAATGGTGTAACTGAAGAGTGTAACTGCTATTCATAAGCTGGATTTTTGTATTACGTGTTTCATATTAAGATTTTTTTTTTGTCTGTATCTTTTATGTTTGTTTTTGTGTGTTTGACTTTTAACTCTGTAACGACGTGCCTTCTTGGCCAGGTCTCCCTCAAAAAAGAGATTTCATCTCATTCTCAGGGCACTTCTTGGTTAAATAAAGGTTAAAAATATATATGTATGACAAGTTTTTTATTTATTTATTTATTTTTTAATTATTATTGTTCACTGTGGTATAGTGTATAATGAGGGCACCTAGTTATGGATGGAGACTGTGCACTTGTCTGGCAGGGAGCAGGCAAACCCACCTTGGAGCATCCTCACACACACACACACACACACACAGAGCAAAGAGCTGGGCTAGCTAGCACACTAGAAATGGATTTAAAGCTTGTGCACTTACCATATTACAGATGGAGGCGATATTTCTGACAGTCATTTAGTTCCCAGTTGTACTCCTTGACGCCATCGTTATGAAATAAACATGACCGGAAGTGCAGGAGCAGCAGATCTCATGCAGCTTGGACCAAGAGGCCAACTGCAGTCCTTATGATAGAGCACTGACATTCAGCACGATTTATTCCACACTGAAAACTATCATAAGCATCCAGCCTAATGTACAAACAGTCTCAGAAAATTACATCAATTCATTCTGAGCTTTGAAAGTGGCTCATCACGTTAAAACTGAAAGGATTTATAGTAAACATCAGTGCTTGCGGCAGGTAACTAGCTAACCAAGTCCGTACAGCACAAGCCCCGCCCACTCCGCCAGTGACGCTCGGTGATGTCAGAGAAATGGGGCGGGCTTTAATTTTGACTTACAGACAGTTTCACCAATCGGAGCTCGGGATTCTGTTTCTTGTTCTGCATTGTAACCTATGGCAGCAAACCAGGAAATGGTTTTGGAAGAAATTTAAAAGACTTGGACGACAAGGATTACAGAGCCGCAAATTTGGATTTCGTTGTGGCATTAATCCAGATTTATGGGTCATCATCATATAACATGATGTAAGTTTAACTCGTTATAAAATATATAATTTCAAAAGGCGTTGTTATTAAATATGAACAGAAACACAAGACACACTGAACTTTTCCTATATCCTCTATAAGCCTGTATTGGCGCTACGGCCACAACGCGCATGCGCACGACCCACAATTCATTTCTTCTTCGTGTCTCTTCTGCGGGACTTCCTGAACGTGGTCTTTCTCGTCTGTCTGCTGGA